TCCGTTTTTGCCGGAGAATCGCGTCTGGGGTGAAGCAAAAAATCCGGCTACAGGTATTTTGGGAGATTTCGTTTTCCAGGAAAAATTGCCGCATTTATGCTTTCTATGCGTTTTGTGTTGCAGTAGTTGCAGAAGACGCATATTGCCGAAACCATATCTATGAGTCTGTGCTTGTGTGTGTGTCTGTCTGTTTCTCTGTGTTCCGAGTGGATTTTATCCACGGGTCTCAACTCGGCAACTGGAGAAACTAGGAAGCTGAAACTTTAAGAGGGGACCTCTTACCCGCATGTAATCCCACAAGCTCGAATTCAGGGCCTATACACGCCAGAGCTTTACGCACAGCCATGTAAAAGTTTTGGCACCTGATAACTCGGGCAGCACAGAAGATGGGAAGGTGAAATTTTAAGAGGATGTCCCTTGCTCGAGTAAGACTCAGCATACTCAAATTCAGCTTGTCCTCTTGCTTGCGCCTCACGTAGGAACGAATGAAATTTTTGGCGCCAAAGTTAATAACTCAGTGATCAGGAAAACTAAGGGGCTGAAAATTTGGGAGGATATCCCCTGCCCATGTACGACCCCCTAAACTCAAACTCAGCTTCTCCATTTGCGTGGACCTCACGTAAGGATACGTGAAATTTTCGAGCGCCAAGATTAACTCGGGAACTGTGAAAGCTAAGAATCTGAAATTTCAGAATAATGCTCCTGACCATGTATAAATTCAGCCGCTATGCACGCTTAGGTCTCAGATGTAAGCATGCGGAAGTTTTGGCGCAAAAATTAATAATTCAGGAATCATAAAAGCCAAGGGGCTGGAGTTTTACAAGGATACTTGTTGCCCGAATACAAATTCATCCTGCGCACGCCTAACTCGCATGTACAGACAAGTTAAATTTTTTGCGCCAAAATTAATTCAGAAACCACACAAGCGAGGGGGCTGAAATTTTGGGAGAATGTTCCCTGCCCTCGTAACTCAAATTCAGCCTTTCTGCATGCTTGAATCTCACCTAGGGACGCGTGAAATTTTTAAACGCCGAAATTAACTCGGGAATCGTGAAAGCTAGGGAGCTGAAATTTCAGAATAATGTTCCTGTCTACGTATAACTTCAGCCTCTGCGCACGCAGTCTCAGATGTGAGTACGCGAGGTTCTAGCGCCAAAATTGATAAATTAAGAGTCACAAAAGCTGTGAGACTGGATTTTTAGGACAGTGCTTGCTGTGCTCCCCACTCACGTATAAATTCATTTTCGCGCATGCACAGGTCTCATACACGGATAAGCGAAAGTTTTAGCGCCGTAATTAATAACTCGGAACCATAAAAGCTAGGGGCTGAAATTTTAGAAGAATGTTCTCTGCCCGCGCACAATCTTACGATTTTAA